TTACTTAAACCCCCCGCCATTAAATTTAGTTTGAACCTTCGGAAGCTGTTCCAGTCCGTTATTATCCAAGTTACATGGCAATTACTTTAAAGGTAAAGTAGAAAGATAGTTGTATACATTTATCTCTATATTATTAATCGTCACAAGGAATTATTTTATAGGGTAGCAAATTACAATAAATATAAAATATTTAAAATTCAATTTAAGAAATGACAAAAACATTTAATATATGAAATTTTAGACAGTTCATCCCGATAGTACAAAATCTATGATAATAATAATATAACAAATATAATCAACGAAACTATATATTAAGCAAATATACTCTCCAGTCAGAAATTTAATCCTTTCTTTACTCTTGAGAGTGTGTGAGGAAATCAAATTAAACTGACCTTGTTCCAATTGAACCCTATAATATAATGGAGTCCTGGTTCTAGAGCGGTCACAAAAGGCGTCCGAACTTGAAGCGGTTTAACGGAACACTGCCATTGACGGAATTTAATAACTGCCTATGTATCAGGGTTGTCACGACGGGTAGTAGTTTTTTTTAATACTACATATTGTTCGAAAATAAAATGATATAACGATAATCACCTTAAAAATATAATATAATAACTAAAATATATTATTAAAAGGAGTCCCTTTAGGCACCGAATGGGTCATCAAATCATATTCGGATCCCTGTATTTGCATGCTTTTTCAGCCGCTTCATACCCATTGCTGTTAAATTAACATGTAATATTATTTAAAAATTGTCATCAAACGTATTATGATAAAATATATATATACCAATAAAATTTGATAATGTTGTTCCTAGTACTTAGTGGCTATTTATTACATGATCAAGATAAAAACGAACAATTGTTCGAAATAAAACTTATTGACGGATATGAAATTTAGCGCGCTTTTTAACCGACTTCAGAAGATCCTGCCAGACCCCAATTAGGCGAAGTTTTGAAAAAAAAGTCTGTAATGATTACAACCGTTTTACACAAAAAATCGGGGTTAATGACCACTCGGAAGCACAAAGATTGTCTCACGACATCGAAGAGTACTAACTACAGCTTGCAACTACTACAAATAGGCATCTTCATCTCCTGATAATCGTCGAAAACATTTAATTTTCTTCTACAAGACCAATCAATATAGGAATATTGTTGTTTTAAATACATTTTGGAGATTTTTTATCAGCATTTATAATCACTGACCAGAACTTATGTCAAGTAGACGGGTATATCAAAGGTACAATTAAATTTCTATAAAAATGCACCCCAGATACTGGAAGATTAAATTATTTAAACCCTCGCCATATTGCGGAAAACTTTTGGAAGTAATTTTTTTCAAATGTAAACAATCTCTTTAATCATATTTATTTCCATATTTTAAAACATAAACACCATATTAAACTTTATGTCCGCAAAAGATAGAATCATAGTTAATTTAGCGTCCTCAGAAGAGGTTTTTTTATTGTGAGGTTTGTTTTATGCGCACATGGTCTGGAAAGGAGCAACTTAGTACTAATAATTTAACTCTATGGTATAAATAAGTATTTTACTAATTTAAATATGCAAAGATGACACAACCCTGTGACAAGTAGTCTCGATGCAATTTAAAATGACACAGAAATTACTAGTTAACGTACCTATACTTTATTAGTGCAGTTTGCACTCACATTTCACAACTTTCTATGATAATAGTTCCTATGCTGGTGTATCTGAAGAAGTAGAAACATTACTCAAGCCGCACTCCAAAATTATTAAGCGGTAAAAGTAAATACATAAATCTTGGCTACATGAACATCGCCGACGTTTTTTTTTGGGTATAGTGGTAAAATAAAAAAAATACTACAAGTAGGAACTAACATATCCAACAATTGTATATACATAAATTAATTAATTTAAGGTTCCATATTTCTTTGATGTACTCATACATCTTTAATTGTTATTAATATTAGAATTTCTTTAAATTGGTCTGTACGAGGCAGATATTTTCCTTAAAAGTAATAGAATTTTTTTTAAAAGTATATATGCAAATAATTTAATTTACTACGTGTATATACAAAAATTATATACTTTTTTCATATTTAGCATCAAGATTATGACTGCCTTCGAACTATAATTAATTTATTTATAATTTTGACAACGACGTGTTGTCAAAAAACAACGGTTCTGTTTTCGCAGACTACATATTACACAAAAAAGTGATAAGGCTGTCTATTGTAATATGTAATGTTCACTTTTACAACAAAAATATATAAAGACACTAAAAAAAGGCAACTAATTACATTTTCGTTCGTGGAACAGAGGCGGCCAAAATGATACACAAATTATAAGTTGACGAATGTGATCCGATATAATTACATTGTTCGAAAATGTAAGCGAAGGGATATTGAAATACCCGTCTCATCAGAAGACGTTGCCAAGTACACAATCATTTAATGAGTTCTGATATTAAATATTGCGTCGTTCTGCAATGGCGTAAAGAAACACTTTAGATAGTGTAATGAAACATTTGTTTAATCTGATTGATGTATTTACGAAACTCTAAACGTTTAAATAACTAAAAAACTATATCTACCTTTTCATAAAAACTGAACCGACCTAATTCCACTTAAGCATTATCTCTTTGCCAAATTATGTATACCTGTGATAAAGATTCAAAAAAGCTTTAGTTAAAACGGTGCGTTAAGATCGATTTAGATATAAGGGTTCAAGGATTAAAATGTAGAGTTTGCTAGGTCTCTTGAAAGGGCAACCAATGCCATCCCTGATTTCACCTCGCCATATTTGCCAATTCAGTCGGAGCCTAATTCACCAAGTGCCGAGAATAAATTACGAAGACCCTATAGGCTTGCAAATATAGAGCTGTTATTAAGACCAACCAAAAATAATTTCAATTGTATAAAAAAGATTCGGTGCAAATACAAGCTGTAAGCCCAAAAGTGCTTGAACGGGTTCTGTGCTAATTCGAGGAAGGCTCAGGAATGCAGATTTCTTGACTTTCTTGATGGAGCCCTGCGGGGCAGCAACAATGCAACAAAAAAAACATCAAACTGCATTTCAACCATAATTAAAATTTGCAGACTGTACAAATTTGTTTTTTGTCTACTCAGTAAGAGAAATATAATACATCATAACAATTATAACTGATTTGCACTTTTGTTTCTTTGTTGTAACTAAATACGCTTGAATATTATTATATTTTATGTATTTCAATTTTCTCCTATTTTATTATATAATTTTTGTCAAAGCATATACCTACAGTATATTTAAATGAAATTTAAAGAAATCTAATTAAACAGAAGTTTTTCACTTGAATCATTATTATTTCAGTTACAAGCCAGAAACGCGGTACACTTCTTGTTTTTGCAAGTCGATTAAATAATAACATATATATATACTAACCAAAACATTAAAACATTGTCGATTTTAAATTAAACTACATATGTTAGTAATATACAAGGTTCTTTGACTAATAAGTACTTCAGTATTAGAGAAAAATAAATTAAAAAAATAAATACTCATTATTCGACTTGGAGATAACTCGAAACGTCTAGTATGGGTCATTAAAATTTAATCTTGTCGAGCGGAATGTTTGACTTCGTGATGAACGAGATTGCATCCACGACCCGATAATACCTTGAGCACCGTTAGGGCTTCGAAGAACGAACTTGCATAATGCACTAACAACAATGTACTTAAAATTCACTTCATCACTACGTAGTATAAAACAAAATCGCTTTCTCTGTCCTTAAGTATGCTTAAATCTTTAAAACTACGCAACAGATGTTGATGCGGCTTTTTTTAATAGATACAGTGATTGAAAAGGAAGGTTTATATTTATAATAACATCTATTAAATATGGATGGAGAAATACTGTTATTTTTGAGGTTTCTAATGTGATGTCGTAAATGGTAAATAATTACATTTTTTCCGCTTAAATTGCGAACCCTACGAGATTTATCAAAATAATGTACTAAGTATTGTACACATTGAATCTACAGAAAACTCCGCGATGGTATATGTCTATCTCTCATGGATATCCCACAATAACATGTTTTTGTCATTTACTTTTTACGACAAATAATGGCTAATTTTCTAACCGATTTTGCGCCAGAGCCAATACAGTATTAATCCTTATCCAATTAAATACCTTAAATACATTGTTGATTTAATATAGATCTATATGGCCCTGTACAGCATATTATTTAAATGAATATATTCGAAGATATTACAAATTCTAAAATTGCGAGACGCAGCGCGTCGGAGGCCGCGGGCATTGCATCCGTGCGAAGCCGCCCCGGGTCGCTAGTATACTATAAAAAACGCTTTTATGCAATTTATACATCTCTCTCAAGGCTCTCTAATAACGGGGGTGTAACTTAAGACCGTATATGAAAAAAAAACAAAAAATGGTACTACAGGACATAAGAAAACGCATTAAGGTCTACGTCTTGAAAAATTTATAATAATAATATTAAACTATAACAAAAATCTACAGCATAATTATTCACTATTAGCAAACACCTGAGAAATAAGAAATTATTGTTAATTCAATATCAAAAATTTATTGCTGTCCCAATTAATAAATAGTTTGGAAAATCCAAAAGTGCACGCCTCATAGCGGTGATTCACATTTAAAAAAAAAATCTAAAACAAAAACTCAAGTTTTTTAAAACAAAATAACAAATAAATTATTATCTTTAAGTCTCACGCTATTTTATAAAACGAAATTTACGTAGCTCATGCGCGAATCTTGATTTTCCACATACTCTTGCATATAGATATAGTTATATACAAATACACAGCCATTTTTTTTTTTTCTTATAAATAATATTTATTAAAGAATAATGACTTAGACGGTCATACTAACCACCCACCTCCACCCTCTTTCCACCGCTAAAAGTGATCATAAAAAAGTGTGCCTCAGCTTTTAAAGACTATAAAAGTGGCCTGAGTCGCTGGCTCACTAACAAAAAAAAATTACTATTACGAATTAAATTATTTCTGGTTTTTATTCAAAAGCAGTTCGATCCCTGCCTTATATAAAGTTTCCATGTCATAATAGTCTCGATGAATTATTCCTTTTCCCCAAATTCCTTCCTTATTTTGAATTCTATCAATAACAGCAAAATTATTAGGACGAGACGCATAAAAATGTGAATAGTCAGTGTTCATTATTGTCAATACTTTTGAATAATCAACGTTTAAAGGTCCATAATCAATTATTGATGTTAGAAGAGCTTGCAATCCATTTATATTAAAAGCCAATAACTTGATTCCTAAAGCATGACTAATAGCAATCAAAGAACCTTCATTGCCCCAAACTCTTTCAGTAGCTATCATTCGTATCAAATCATCCATTTCTGGATTGTCCAAAGCAGTGTCATCTCTATTTTCAAAGTTTACTTCAACGATTCTTGATTTAATATATACTTCGAAGTTTTCTTTATTTTGCAATACAAAATTAATGACGAAAAGTTTTATTTCTGGATATTTGTGTTCATCTCTTAATAAAATTTCAGCCATAGCTCGGAAAAAGCAATTGCCATCATCGCCAACGTTATCAATCTGGAAATTATCTAAAACAAATTTAGGAAATCGATTTCTTTTTCCGCCTAGAGGGTTTTTATCAGTATCTGTTGTAATATATGGTATAGTATCTAATTTGCTTTTCATATAAGAACACAAAACTGTAATAAATTTTTCATTTTTCCGACAAATTTCTGTTATTGTTGAAAAAGAAGTACTCTCAACAATGTTCTCCAAAATTTTACGGCAGGTTTGTGTTATAGATACATTATTACTTTTGATTACAGATAAACGATTTTCGTTAGCCGTACTATTTCTATTTATTTGAATTGCGCCACGATTAAAAAGTAAATCTAATTTGCTTTCAATAATGCGTACACCTTGCCAAGTTTCACCGTTAAATTGAGGAGATCTTAATTGTCTTTGAGCTGCGATAAAATGTTGTCCGATTTGATTAATCAAAATGATCGGTATTTTTGATTTAGTTTTATTACTAGGTACTATTCTATTGATGACTTCAAGTTGATGCGAGTCTTTGTTTACACCTATAACAATTACTATCATTTTGATTGCATCACTCATTGCCATAATTGAACCTGTGTTTCCCCAAATACGTTCTCGAGCAACCATGCGTAAGAAATCATCATTTATGGAAATTGAAAACGTATAAAATAAATTAAATTAAGGCCTTTGAGCCATAAATGAATTTTCTTTTGTCTTCTGAATAAGCAGGAGAACCAACAACTGGTTTTAAAAATTTATACGCCTTATCCTTATTAATCAACTTGTCAACTATATCAGTCTTTAAGATATCGTGATCTGTTACAGATTCATTCTTTAAGCCCCTGCGAGTAACAAAATTTAAGGAATCTCTAGTTCGTTTTTCAACAGTCATTTGACCAAGTTGGAGAACTAACGTAGGATCTAGTCGACAACGAGGGTCTTTATGAGTTAGCCAAAGTTTATGCCTTTCATTAACAGTTAAAGTCTTCGCTTCATCGAAAGGTTCATCACCACCAAAGATTTGAGGATTACACAAAATTTCATAATGAGGAATAGCGTACATGGATGTTGGAGTTTTATTTTCTCCAGGTGCAATAATCCGTGTGGATTCTGCAATTTCACGATTTTGATCAATAACTAAAACATCATCAAAATCAAGGTCACCATTACACTCATTATTGCCATCATTACTGTCATCATTGTCAGAAAAAATTTTAAACAATTCATTCTCTGGGTCCAATAAATATTTTCTATCATTCTCATCGACGATAGACGAAAATTTTTCTTGTGAAAATTGCGAAAATAATTCTTCATTTTCTTTAATTACATAAATATTATACAACTTAGAATTTTGTAAAAATTTCCACGAATCTCTGACGTCTTTTACAATAATAGATTCAGCCATGTAACTGCGGTCATACTGCATTTTACGCTTAATTTTAATCTGAATAACTTGGGCATTTTCAGGTCGACGAGGTAAACATTTAATCATTTCTCCAACATCAACTTGGATGTTTACAACATTTCCTTTCAATGATAATTGTGGATGATTTGTAAACTGTTGAAGGGGTACAATTTTTAAAAAGGGTAACCAAGGTGAGACTAATCTTACTCCAAGTGGACTTAATCGTTTTAAATAATCTGGAGTCTCTATAAAAGAGAGATTTTTTGTAGCAGCTAATTTTGGGATATTACATTTTCTTACACAATTCCAACACGAATCACAAATAAATTCTGAATCTTTCCAATAATTTTTAATTTCATTAAAACTTTATGATATAAAGCGGCGGATTTATTACCATTCTTAGATTGTTTGAACGTATTCTTCAGATAGCTTTCTCTACGACTCAATAAATAGTTTAACCGCTTTTTACGCTTTGCTTCTTTCTCAAGGTGACGTAATTTTGGACCTGATACAGGATCAATCCGAGCTTTTTTATGGCATGAATTAGTATTATCATTTATAATTTTTCGTTTCAATGGATTTTGACGAATAGATGTATTGAAATCTTTATCCTTTTCACGCTCAATTTTACGATAATCTTTATCTGTGCGCACCTGAGACATTCGTCTTTGATTATTTTTATTTACTTTTTTACGATAGTTATTATCCTTCAATAACTCACTAATTCTCTGTAAATTAGCTATATTTTCTTTTGATCGATACTCATCATTTTCACGTAGCTGTGACTTGTAAGCGTAACACTGATTGGCAATTTTTTTTGTCAGCTTATTACAAGATTGAAAATTATATGAATGACTTTTTTTGTATTCAACTTCAGACAAACAAAATGTTTCATCTTCACGTAATTTAGATATCCGCTCTTTAATTTGACTCAGTTCTAAACGATGATAAGTTAAATTTTGACGAATTTTTTTCATTGTCGTACATTTAGATTTCCGACGGTTTTCTAAAGATTTTTTTTTCAATCTAGACATTTTTTAATAAATTATTATTTTATTAGTTTCTTATTTCTCAACAAGCTGCGGTAATTACAATCCAATAAAAAAATAAGAACAACTCTAGCACTTCAAATTACACCGTGTTCTATTATAACCTAATCTCTGACATATAGTTATAATATAATTTACAAAAAATAAGTAATGTACACTATGCAAAGAACTTTTAAGAAATTTATTCATGCAATAAAAATCGTTAAACTATTATTATCACCGTTATAATATTAACTATTTGAATATACAATTAATCTATAAATTTGTAATAAAATAAATATATACGTACTTCGCAAATACTCTAGCTACAAGACTAAGCATATGATTAAATAATTGTTCAATCAGTACAAAAACATTATTAAAAATGAATTATTGAAACAAAAACAATAATATAATAAAAAAATATATAGTTGCGCCATAACTCTAAGCTGAGGAAAAAAAATACACTAAAATAAATGTATATATATATAGATATACAAATACACAGTCGTATTTTAGTTTTTAACAAATTATAATTAAACGACAGTACTTAGAACGCTAATATTAACTAGGAATCAGCCCAGGGTATAACTTTATATAATAAGAAAAAAAAGTATTCTGGTACGATAAATTTTTCGACCAATTTCTCTGCCACATACATGGATCCATAAACACAGACTGACGGACGTCCAAGAATGATTGATTTTAATGTTATTATTTACTATGTTAAACAAAATAATTGTTCATAAAAAATACTATATGTGCTTGATAGATTATTTAACTCGATTTTAGTGCACTCATATTATCCTGTAAGTGTTATATTAGTGAGAAAAAAGTCATTCAAGTTTCGAAAGACTGGGTTTTTTGACATGTCGAGAGTAGAGCACTGCGAGGCGTGCAATACAGAGAATTTTTAGATATAAATTATTAATTTAATAATAACTTGTAAAGTCAAGTCTCACGTTAATGTTCCTTTATTCTTAATTATTTTGAAAATTAATCTCTAAAATCAATAATTGAGATTTTATAAACCTTAAAATAACTAATTGTACTTACTATTCAGTCTACAGGCCGAGGTATATTTACGACCGCGAGACGTCAGTACAATAAGAAATGATCACACGTAATGCGCGAGGGCGCTGTGACTTTTTCACTGGCCTTTCATAAAGTTAGAATAATACCTACAGTATTTCTTTAATTTACGCTACTCATTCCTGAAGCACAGATTAACGATATATTTTTAATAGGATCAAATCAAGAAATATGTATTATAGAAATATAAGTTTATAATCATATATTGAATACTCTATCTCCAAATTGTTATTTTTATTCCACATAAAAATAGTTTGTAATAAAGAAAAAAATACTTAGAATATTTGTCTGTTACTAATTTTAGTGCACCTTAAAAAGAAATGTTAATAATTAAATTATTCTAAATTTACATTTTCTACCATTTCTTGAAACCAGGGCCAAGAACTGACCATATGGAGTAGCAGTATTACATAATATGTAATATTGTATATATTATATATGTACAATAGGTTCCTAAACAACCGACAGCCTCTAGTTTAAGCTTAAAAAATATTCAGTTGTAAGGAACACACTAAATGTAATAATTAAAACACTTAAATTAAGAAAAATTATAATTATTTCAGATACAATAATTAAAAGTTTTATCCTTAATAAAATAATAGTTTTTAGTTATTCAAATTTTGTTTATACATAATCCAACTTAATTATATTCCATTCCATTATATTTTCTTAGTAACTTTTTATAAAACCAATAATTAAATTAATTTAAAAGCAGTCTTTATTGATTTTGGTTTAACTTTTCTAAAAACTCTTCGAACAATCTATTTCTTTCCTTTTGTATACTGTTTGATTCCTCTACAATATTAATTAACCTATCTAACTTTTGTTCCACAGTCCGTTGTCTATCTCTCAATTCTAGAGTTACCTTTCTAAACTCTGCATTTCTCTTCCTTAATAATTTCCGTTTAACTTCATCATTAGTTACAGAAGGCTCACCATTTTCTAGATCTTCATATTTATTTGTTGAACCAATATTTCTAAGAACTTTAACAATTCTCTCACTTGTCCCATCTCTAAGTTTTTGTTGTATCTCAGGTTGATATTCTCCATCGATATTATAAATTTCTTCAAACAAGTCAAAGTATGGCCATTTAAAAGCCGTCATTCCATTTTTATTTCTTTTTCGCAAAAGTCTAACATAGGTTTGTTTCAAATTTCTAAACTTCTTATCACAACTGTCAGCAGCTTTGCCCACTGCATTACCAATTTCAATCCACACATTCTTTTTTCGTATCTTGGGATTCCTAAATCTGTCTATATTTTGTAAATATAGAGTTAACATCCCAACAATGCTCTCTCTATCCCAGTGATCATCTGGATCATCTGGAGTTTCCATTACTTCTGAATCATTAAGCTGCATTAATGTGCTCTCAACCTGGACATACTCAATAATAAGTAAAAGTAAAAGCTTTAACCACAAGAATTTTGTGTACAGCGTCTTTCAAATATCAATTGAATCAATTTGTAGGTAAACAGTATTTAATGGTTTTGCTAATCAGAACTTCCTGAATTTACACAGTCATCGGTGTCCAGTTTGCACATCGCACAAATTAATTATTAGTATCCTGTATTATATTTTATTAAATATAAAAATCAAACGTAAAGAGAAATACCTTTGATGAAATCAAAATAAAACTCAAAAGCGATGCAAACAACGTAAGCGTTGCATCATTCAGCGGTGTATCGACAAAATGGCGCTGCGTGTGGCGAAGCTTATCCAATGAAAGCGCTTTATAATCCGACCAAAGTGAAAGTGTGGTTTAGGTAACCATTTAAACTAATATAGAGCGGTTATTAAAGACTATGTTTATTTCTATATTATGAAAATAGCAGATTTACTAATAAATGATAGAACACGCAAAGAAACTAATAGATAGTTAATAAGTTATTCGCTTTCCTACGAAACGGCAAACAAGTTACATTAGTCGCATAGTCTTTTCAAGGTTGTTAATGAACGTCAAGACCAGCTGATAATATTAATACATACTTATAATATTTACCTAATACAGGTACTTATTACTACTTTCTACGTAATAAAATATAACCTAATGACTAATTAAAGATTATAAACGATAAAGTCGAACCATATGGCAAAATTGTGGAAATTGTATGACGAGTGACGACCATGGCCAATAAATACCACGCCCAATCAATTCTAATACTCGATAATTTGTTTAAAATATTACTTTACATTGAAGAGATAATAACAAATGCTCACCATCATCATTTTCAGATATAGGCTTGTAAGATGCAACATGATCGTCTTCCTTCACCTGACCTCCGTCGATGTTGAGATGATTTTTCCTTGATTCCGACATATTTATGCCGCCAAAGTCCAATTTTAAAACTTAAACTGCACAAAGAGTAATAAATGTTTTATTTGAATCAGTTAAAACAATTTCATTTATATTCCTTATTCTTTTAATTCAAAGATCAAACAGGCAACACGGTAGTTGCACATATGATATAACAGTTTCCAACCTAACCAAGTTATCGTACCAGGGCCTAAAATTATCGTTATGTGATCCATATACGATAAATTATCGTACAGTCAGGAAAATGGCTAAAAATACTTTAAAAAATCATATGAAACGTGAAAATAAAATGTTGCAAACGATTTATAGTTTAAATCTTGTAAACTTGTGTTATTCAAATTGAAAAAAATCATAATAATTCAATCTCTTTCGTCAAAGAGGAACAAAAATACGCAATATTTTCTCGTTGAACAATATGGTGTTCGCTCTAAGTGATATACCTTTGTCCGTAAACATCGCTATTATTTTTATCACTTAAAATTCGTTAGGTATTAAAATGTTATCGAAGACTTCCAAATCTGCGTCACCATACAAATCGTAAATTTTTGGCTGTGCATTCTGATGCGTTTTTGTGTTTGTACATTAACGCTTTGTTCATCTGCTGTAGTTGCCTTGTGACAGCATAAGTTCCTAATAGAAAAATAAGCCAATGTGGCACTGACACTAAAAACTGTAATTGTTATTGGGCTATCTGTGTAATCATCAAATTTTTTATCAGACTGAATTATCGTACAATCTCTACGATAGTCATGTACCATCGTACATAGTACGTAGTTATGAAATTATCGCAAATGTACGATAATTATCGTACGGTTGTGAACCCTGATAATAAGCTGATTTACTTGTTACTTGTTAGTTGAGGGCAAGCTGGCTAGTTCGAACTTAAAAAAAAATCGAATTCTGAATTTCTAATTTGCCTGTGCGATCCTAGAGTCTCCACCCTGTGAACGCTTTATAATCTGTGAAATGAACGAAGACGAACGAAGTTTTAGTCTTTTTTTAGTAAATTTATTTTACTCTAAACATGTAAAGAATGTTGTCTGATGCTTTATTTCCTTAACCAAATAGGTGCTAATATAATAAACTCGCCGTAATTGTATGCTGTAAATAAATAAATAAACGCTTAACTTAATCATCAAATGTCAGAGCTGTTATTTGTTTTTTTTAAAGATTTTATGGTTTCTTATTTGTTAGAGATATATAGCTTGTTTTAAGCTTGAACTGATTCTGAGAATAGCTATAATATAATTATAATGTATATTTAAAAAAATATTGTGCCCAAAATGATTTGCAGTGTTTTAAAAACTTATTTAAAAAAAAATCTGAACATCTGAACAAAGCCCATTCGATTTATGATTAGACAATCATATCTCGTTATTTATCAAAGCAAGATATTTGTAAGTTAGAAATAATTTTATTCCATCTCAAACGCGATAAAATAATTAGAAACATGCACACTGAGCTACTTTTATTTACAGGGCAATAGGCGGCAATGGAAAATTTTGTAATTAAATGTGTTTTTTGTCATGAGTTGTTATTATTAGGCCATAATATCCCAACGATGGCCAAAGGCCTACCTCTATTCCGTCCACGAATTCCTACTAAGAAAAGCATTAAACAAACTTGTCCCACCCTAACTCCGTCTAAGTTTGTCGCGATGTCCAATTTTCTACTTTGTAATAGTAATCAATTGGGAATTACTATCATTATATCAGCCAACAGACGTCCACTGCAGGAAATAGGCCTCTCTCAAAGATCTGCAATTGGGAATAATTTTACCCAATATGGGTAAATTTTTGCCAACGCAGCAACACCATTACTGTTTCTTGTGCGGCCGTGATTTGGATCCATCTATAGATATTAAGTACTTCATCTAATTAGAATGAATAGGAAATGAATGAATTAGGAATAAACATAACGGGAAAACGTCAGAGAAACGCTGAGGCGTGGCAACACTAGGGGGCACGTGTCCACACTCTTGAGTCTTGACTCTACACTCTGGCGCTCGCGTCGCCTCGTGGAGCAGGGCTGCCAGATGTACGATTTAAATCGTACTTCTACGATTTTTTTGATTTTTACTCATGTACGATCGCTAGACCAAGATCGTACAGAAAATGTTCGTACCTGGCAACATTTCATAATGAAACGAATGTACTCCACTTTATTATGTTCGGGGAAATCCCCAACAACCTAACGCATGCCTAGATCTTTTACTTGAATGAAGATTGAAGACCCTTTACGCCTAAAGACCCTTTTTTCGTATAAAGTCTGTATTTGTGTGCATTGTTACAAAACTTATTATTTTTCTCTTGTAAAGACTTGTATTGGATTAGTCAAAAACCCTGTTTTTCTCATCAGTCTCGAGCTGTAACTTTATATACATAGATTATATTATCCTTTTTTGATCTGCATATTGTCTTTAGTGTTTTTTGTGTTACTTCAATACGCTTAAGCAAGAATGGGTAGTGAAAATGAAGAAGAGTGACCTGCGCCAGGTACTCCAAAAAAGAAATTAGCCAAAAGAGGAGAGCCTTCTGCAACAGAGAGTAACAAACACAGAGCACAGAAGTATCGTCCCGATTGGGAAAAATTAGATTTATTTAAGGACTGGTTAGGGCCCGGTAAAAACAATTTAAAGCCAGGTGCACTGTTTGTGTCGTCGAAATGGTTTCAGAATATGGAGTTATAAAGTTACACTCTTCAAGGCAAAGGTAGCCACTCATTTTAAATAAAAACTTTCCACTTTTATGTTGTACGATCTTTTCATTTCAAAATTTCCTTGGAATACGATTTTTTAGTAGTTGGTGTACGATCATGCGTTTTTTTCTTCTGGCAGCCCTGTCGTGGAGAGTGTGGATGGAGTGTGGATGGAGTATGGACTATGGACAATAACAACAGACACCATTCTAAAATTTGATGTTAATGTAATAATACAAAAATTATACAGAAATAAGTACGTAGAACGTAGAATTTCATGATAACTTATTTTTGTAACGACAATATAGTCGGGGAAAAGCCAAAGAAAATATATTATAAAAAAAACATCGCGTTCCTTTACGTTTGCCTGAGTGAATGAACTGGGAGAATGTGAAACACTATTTGATCTGTGATTGAAGAGAGAAACAAGATAAATCAGAAGTCAGTCATCAGAAGTGATGACGAAAGAATTATGTTATCTGTATGTATTTTTCGATAAATTATGTAATTTTTAAATGAGGGTATTTACTATTTATTTGCATATTTATTTTTTTATTTGCTTATTTACAAGTAATATTGTATTATTTTCTTACATAGCGAAGTAAGTATTAATAACCACTTCATCTGTGGTTCATAACTATTAAAATGAGTACAAATCCTCCCGTACCACCACCACTTCCAGCTGATAATACCATCACTCCTCTAAAATTATACCAAATACAAAATTCACTGAGTGATTCTATTTGTCAATGGACTACTGAGCTGGAGTTACGAGAAGCTTGTGCAAAAAATAACATTTGCCTTTACAAAGCTCCTCATCAGTTCAAATATAAAAACTTTAAAGCTATTACACAAGTGGGCCCAACTTGTGGCTTAGTAGCATTATCTATGCTTTTAAATGGAGAGGTTAGCCCTGATGAGTTACTGAATATAGTTATAGCAGAAGGTTACAGCAATAATGGTGAGATGTTTAGTTGTCAGAATATGGTACAACTTGTTGAAAAAGTATTAAATCTGTCTAAAAAAAATAATGCCAGTTTCCATTTAAGACATGGACTTTATAGCAAAGAAATAATACTTGAATTGTTGAATGGTGCTACTTTGTTGGTTGCGTATCCTTTTACAACTCATTAATTTTAGAAACCCCAGGAAAAATCTTGTGTACGTAAACAATGTTTTTGGCTATTTCTGTTTTACCAAAATTTTATAACAAATGCATGATTCTCCTGTTTTTTACAAGTAGTCTTGTGTATATATGATGATATTTATGTTATTTATAATGAGGGTAATTTGGTCTCTTCTGCCAATCTTAATCAGTCATTTACATAGGATATAGTATATTGAATCTTATTCTATAACTTCCCCAAATTTCCTTCTGACCCCCATAGCCAAATTACTTAAATAATTCTATTGCTACATGATATTTGTAGTTGGTGAAGTGAGTAAACTTGACATAGCTTTCTTATCAAAATTTCAACAAAAGACAAAACTTAGTAAATATCAAATGTACATAATAAGTGATATTTTTTAATGAGTATGGGTTGAGGTTTAGTTGTTTTTAATTTTGGTGTATAAACTTAAGTTCAAGATTAATCACTTTGAGTACTACACTAATGAAGCAATGTGTATATAATTATTACATCACATAGATTTGTGATATTGTAATTGTCTAGGTAATACTTAACCGGGATTCAGATATGATGCAGATTGCAATCACTCACCCTGCCTCCGAAATGGACACACTGCACATTGGGCATTAGTGTGTGGAATTATAATTATTGATGACCCTAATGGATATTATTTGTCTGATCCTAACAATATTTACATATTTTGTAGACATGGAAAGTCGAAATATCTTGCCATGTGGCGTTTAGCTGATTTAGATAGTAGTAATAAAAATTTAAATGAGTTTAATCCCAAGAAAAAAGAAGATGGTTTGTTATATATTTTACCCGAAGGTGGCATGGGTGGAAAAAATGGCTTAAAAGGCCAGTTTGTTATGTTTAAAGGTCTTTGACAATGTTGACATTTATTAAATAAGTTTAAAATTGTTATTTATACTTGATTTATATAACTAACTTTAATAACATCAACGTCTTTATGAAATGTTTTAATTGATGAATAAAAATTTTATAGGTTTCTAATTTAGTTTTAATACTATAAATTAGATTATAGTTAGCTTTAGTAAATTGGTTTTAAAATAAAACAAGTCCATAGATTTTAATGCAAAATGTTTATTTGTACAATAAATACAAATCATACTTGCAAACCATAGTAAAATAAATCTCATGACTTCACTTAATTCATTACAATTATATTGAAAGTTAAATTGAGTCATTTAAATTTTAACAGGGAAAGGATTTGCACCATAAACAATAAAAAGAACTCCATTATTAATAACTTAATAGAATACAGAAACATAAAATATATTTTTTGTACTAATTAAATCAACTTAAACTTCATAACTATGATTACAGTTTTGCTATGTACTGCTTGCAAAACAATATGTGATGTATTGTAAAGATTACAAATATATTAGGATGAATGAATATAGACTTATATTAGAAAATGACAAACTTTGCATTCAGGCATATTACAATGCAGAATTAAGAAATTTATAACGCCAAGTTAGTCAGTCATAATGAGATCATAATAACAAAATATTTCAAAATTAATTGTTTATTTTCGACTCTAGTTGTGCAACAGACCTTTGAACACCAGAATTGAATTTGTTAATGATTTAAGACGGCACTGTCCAGTATTCTAGTTATGCACTAGATGAGTGCATTTATATATAGTATGGAGCTGAAGAGATTTTTTTAAATATATTTTAAGCACTGGTTTGCAACACATGCTGTCAACAAGAGTCGAGCTAAACTTTACTTAGAGATAAAGGTTAAATAATTACAGATCATACTAGGCTAGGCCTCTAGACATTATCATCACTTGAGCTTCTATTGCCGCAGGCAATTTACACAAAACCACTCCTGGCAGCCTTTCATAATATCTAGATTTGGTTCAGCTGTGTAAAAAGGGACTGTAATTAACAATGGCTTACTAATGGCCTATAATTGATTAACATATTGAGATCCTTGAAAGATCCAAAAAATACTATTTTAATGTATTGTCTTTATCCCAACATGTAAATTTACTAATATATGAGAAGTTGTAGTAATTGGTAGTAAAACAATGTCTTAATGGTATTGCTGTAAAGTTTGTTTTAACACTACAAAAAGGATCTCACTTTTTACACAACTGCACTCGGTCATTAGCTAACCACATCGCTGGAAATGTAATATACAATACACATACATTTGTAACTTCTAATCTAACACTGATATATGTTTCATTAATAACACTTTATTAAAACGAACCTTATCTAGAATAACTTGATATATTTTGTGCTATATGTCACTATATATAAGAACCTATGACAAAAATATGGTCACATCAGGTTTACATTCAGAAATGTATGATGCAATGGTTTAAATTGCCTTTTATATTAAATTATATTGTATACCAAATTTTGATAATATTATTGTTGGATTTTAAAATTTAACTGATAGACATGTTTCTTATATATTATTAACAAATGTGGAATAACCCAACTTTTTTAATTTATTCGAAAATACATATATTCCTGAGCTGATGTGGTTTGTTGGCTATCGTTTAGGGACAATCTTATTTTTTAATTGCGGGTAAAATCCGACTAGACTTTGTATTAAGCACAAATAACTACGTTTTAGATGCCAAGAAAATGTGTTTATTAGATCACCGAAGATGGCATAAGTAATTGAAAATAAATAAGAGATAAGAAAAAATAACGATGCAAATTTTATTTAACTAAAAAAGGCAATATTAAAATTTGGCACGCCGGATCTAGAACGATGATGATTGAAATCGAAGAGCACCAAATATAATGTTGAAGTGAGTGTATAAAATCAAAATGTTACCAAGCTATGCTATAACATAATGTACGCTTGGATACGTACGTACACCTCAACGTTCACACAGCCACATACTAAAAATACACATAGAACTAACGAATATTATCATCGAGAAAAAGGACATCTCTTAAAGAACGCAGCAATAGAAAACTATTTTTCCATGCTGGCTCGGAGTAATTCGTTACGAAAGTACAATTTGGTTTTCAATGTAATACTGACAATCAGTCGTTTTAGGAAGTTTTAATAAAGAGGATTATGTAGAAGTACAGCTAGCAGCGATCTACGCGGTGGCTGTGACTTAAGCGACTGGCACGACACCGGTTTCAGTACTTCAATTGAGAAGCAAATAACCACAGCGGCCACGTAATGAAATGCTAACTACACCTAGATATTAACAGCTTAAGATTGCTGCACTTTGAAAACACTGTCTATCCAAAAAATCACAGATTCAAAATAACCGCGCTCCGACGAACCTGATATGCGCTCAAACTCGAAATTCGATTTCACTTATACACCAAAGTGCTACATTCGTGCGCTTCTCATTCTGGCAACTCAGAAAAGTGGAGCAGGCTCAAAAAATTTAAACTCTTAAGACTTTAGGCTGTCTCTGTTGTCAGATATTGAGAGTAAACCCTCAATGATGATAAAGTTTTTGCAAGTTCTAGTATGGAGAGAAATGAAGACCAGAATAAAGCGCACGCTTGTAGGTATTTATATCCTATTTTACTTGGAAATGTCACGAACCATTATTGAATTATTGAGTACACAGAACTAACTACATCTACATGACTATGCATTGAGCTGTAATTATGCAACTTGAAATACGTTTAACATCGATTATAAAATTTTACACAATTTATATTAAACACGCACTATAATCTACAAACGCAATTTTAATCTGCTTTTAACCGTTGCGTATAAAATTAGCAAATTCTATTCTAATGCTGCCAGTAATAAAAATTTGAACGTAATTCAAATTACACAACACAAGCACATAAATGGCAGCTTTATTATTAAGTAACGCTACAACATATAAGACGAGGGAGGAACTAGTTTAGACAACTATATGTATGTCATTGCATGGATCATTGCATCAGTATTATATTTAAATTCATTACGTGATAACGAAACCGCTTATAATTATTGATTATTAATGTATTTGTCTCATAAAGCCACGTATTGTAAATAAAATCTCCCTCTAAACATGCAGTACATTAATAATTTTGCACAATCCATTCCAAAATTCTAGAATTTTCTGGAATATACCAGATAGCTACCGTCCCTCGAGCTTAAACTTTTTCGCACTAAGCATCGTAAGCGCCAAACTAATACAATCGTATCAGCCCGATAGTCGATGGGTAAAGACAGTACGAATTTATACCACTGCGACAGAATACATACAGACTTCTAACTCTTTTATAGTTAAGTTTTAGCTAATCATCAAGCCAGATATTACATTTCACAATATATAAATACGTCTATGACGTCTAGTATAAACATCGCTATGACTATGATGTCTAGTACTATAGGAAAGCATTTCAACCTCACGGGTTTATGGAGTCACTTCTGTCTGCTATATCCTGTGGCCGTTACGAGCGTCTAAGTTTCTTGCGGGGCGAGGGGAGCGAGTGAGGGTAACGGGCCGCCGCAAGTCGCAACCGGGAACGACTTCACGTGAGTTTGCCATTGCGTCGATAATTGGAAGAACTTCACACCGTTCCATTCTGTGCCGTCGATGTAAACTGAAAAAAGAAAAAATATAACACTTAATAATTTCACAAAACAAAAAAATAACCTCACCTCAGCCAAGTGTAATATGATACGTCATGAAAAAAGTATTAAAAAAAAACACTTCTAAACCAAACGATTCTCGAAGCTTGATGCGGTTTAGAGTTTAAATTTGTAGCTATTGTAGCGTTAATATGTAAGAACGAATTTTTGCTTTACATATGTCCTTATAAAACCGACCATTAAGGGAATATTGGTTTACGTCATTAGTCCCGTCAGCAAATTCACTAAATAAGCAGCTTTCGAATAAAAACTACCAAATTCGAAAAATATAAAAACAATGTAAATTTACATTTTTCGCAGTCCTCAAATCAAAGTCGAATTAACGAATTGTTAATAACCAATTTTTAAAACAGCCGGCAACGCACTTGCGAGACTCCTGCCCGTTTGCCTGCTGTTATAATAAAAAAAAAACTCCCTGCCATTATGTTTAATTATCAAATCGTCAAAACGCTTGTAACTAACGCACCCAATAAGTCTTATAAATAATAATAAACGTTTCGCCTCAATTAGTAGTAGGCAATCGGAGCACCTACGTACACTATTGCAGAAAGCAATCAAAGTGAATATTGATATTAATAATATATAAGACTCCGTACCTTTGAGCGGAGTATGCGAGCCTTTAGCGGAACAAATCAGTCTGGCGACACCTTCAACGTTATGCGCACGGCCTGCCTCACTTTCTCCACTCTTTTCTTTCTTCTTGCCCAGACGCATTACTGGAATAGCAGGTTTTATTCTTAAAGTTATCGAGCCTTGGTTTCATAAAAGATCTCAAATTAATTTCGGGTTTCGTTTCTTACTAAGCTATCAATACCGATCTTCAAACGTCCCCAAACATTTAATCAACAGAATTATAAAGTTTTCAAGTGAAATTTTGGAGGGTAATTATTTAATGCCGTATGTTTGCTGCCGTTAGCTGTGCACTGCCTCTTAAGAAATGTCCCTTAATGTATTGAAATCTCTCCGTCTTTAATAAAAAAATAATAAATTAAATTTATTCGTTTCTCTTATAAACTTGTTCTGTCAAACGAATACAACTAAATAATTTTCCATTTTGGTGTTATTATTCGAAAATTAAGAGTATATTTTGGCGATTCATTTTTCATGTAGAAATGTAAACAGTTGATCACTATTGAGGCCTAATTACGTACTTTTTTGTTTCTTTTCCTTTGTGAGATAGGTGATGGCCAGATGATGGTTGTGTCTTGTGACAAGAAGCGCTCGGAAGGCTGCCTTCACCGTCACCTTACCCCCACCGCTCGTCTCGCTACCTTCTGCGCTTTTACCCCCGGTTCCACCCACCTACATTATTACTAAATGTATTACTTTATTGTAATTGTTTTTTTATTACAACATTACACTGACTTTGTGACTCCCTGTGTTGTTTGGCGATTTTCTTTTTATTTTCTAGGGTAGTTTTTCAGTTTATCTGGACTTGCCTCATCTCACAACAAGTAAATATTGATAAGAAGCATCTATCTATAGATGCCAAAGGTTTTAATAATAATGCTTTTTACTCAATTACAACATAACTGCTAATTTAATACAAAAAATACATTTTTTTATGTTGAGTCTTGACTACTATTTTTAAAATGTGCAGTAAATTTTTTTTAAGTCGAAGCAATAAGAAATACAGTCGCAAAGTAAATGTTTAATGTGGGCACAAATTAAAAAAATATGATAATAAAAAACCTTGTAGCTTAATATCAGTTAAGCGACAATAACATAATAATCTTTAACTCGGCCTTCAAATCTTGCAATTAATCAAGAGTTAGGCACTTAGTTCAATTATAAATATATATGTAGATTACAGTCACAATATATAACGCTTACCAGCCAATAGTCCAGTTGCAACTCAAGCGGGTCATGTGCAGGCGGCAGGGGATCCGGCGCCGGCGTCGCAGGGGGCGAAGGGCGAGCGGGAGGTGAACCCTCTTCTCCCTCTAACGATGTACCGCACGTCTCCGACCAACCTACACGGACTTCCTGAGGGGGAATTTAAAATCAAATTCTGGATTTCGAGTTTAGTCATGGTATTGCCATATACAAAAAGTATTTAAAATATTTTAAAGATGAAATACAGTATTAAAGCTCACCGCTATGAAAGGAACAAACGTCTGACTAGAGTCTTCATCGGCAGATTTGTCTCTGTACGCGATCATTGCTTCGCCAATTGGAATGTTATTCACTGGGCCGATGCTATTCAAATACCTGAAACAGCAAAAAGTACTGAAATGATATATTTTTGTAGAGTTCAGCAAAGACAAAACTATTTTTATCATTTTTATTTAATTTTTATTTATTTATTATTTATTGAAAATGAAATGTGCATTGCTTTTGAACAGACGGTAAAGACGGCTTGTTTAATGTTTAAATTTAGTTCGTGTATTAGTGATTGCAATATTATTTAAGGGTCTAAATAAAAAACACTTTAGGTTAAGATAAGAAATCATACCTAGCGATTCTGGAAGACATCTCAGCGATATCAGGCATGTGTGCGTCCGGCGCGCGATCGCAAAGCCCCGCCCACGTTTCGTTAGCGAACAATGCCGCGTACGCCGGGTCCGCAGCTGACATGTAGCGAGCCACGGTGCATTGACCTAAAAAATATTATAGCCCGCTCAAGTTTCTCTAAAGGGCCTTGGGTTCTAAAGTGATATAAGGGGTCACTCTAGGCATCTACCTATACGACCGACAAGGGAATTACTAAGGCAAATTAACTATATTTGGTAACCGACATATCTTTGTTGTAACAATCAGATTTTATCGTTCTCATGTGACTGGGTTACAAAGTAAGGGTTTAAGATCCCGTTCACAACTTACCAGAGGCGAATAGCAAATTTAATTATACTTTTCCCAACGTGCATTTTGCAATAAAATATCAAATCATTCTCGCCCAATGATTCTTTATCCAAAATACTAGTCGTAATTTCGTCGTGGCGTCATATTTTTACGCGTCGTAAGTTAAGACTGGCAATTACTTTTGAATTCTGTATATAGAAACCTCGTTTTATGTACGTCTGTAGAATATTTAACTATCGAATCAATAGTTCTCACTCAATTTTTCTTATAAACTGATGCTTATTAACACAGCATCTTTTGTCATTTTCAAACACACTTTGCTGTCAAATTTATTAGTACCTCGCCTTAGCATCTAATAAAATATTACTCAACCCGTTGCTTAAATACAAAAAAAATGTTCTTGCAAAAAAAGGGGCTGGGGAATTTTTACAGCACTTATTTTTATTAAAAAAAAGTATCATTTAAAACGTTATCCTTGTTTATATTATGAAGAATAGAACTAACCGACAGGTATAACGTAGTATCTTATGGGCGGGGCGTCATGCGGTCGTCTTGCGGCGAGCTCAGCGTGCGCTCGTAGCACACCCGCTGCCGCTGCTTCTCCGCCACACACGCAGATACGCAACGCGCGACGACTGCCCCTTTTAGATTTTTCAGACCGTTATATTGGAATCGTTATTACACAGAAATAATTTCGTGCACAACCGATGTCTAAATCAACCAAACGCAAAGAATTTTTAACCTCACGGACTAGTGTGTCGCCAACATTTCCTATGACGCGAGTATCGCTCGACGTATCATCACAATGGACCAGTCTACCCACTACACCGTGTTTTAATATGACCATGTTAGACAAAACCATTTCTGTCTGTGTACGCTTTTAAGATTGAACTAATATTTATTTATCTATTACGTACTTCTACAACTAACATAAATTACATATAACAAATACTAATTATACTAAAGATGGAATACATAATATATACAAAAAGGTTAAATATTTTGTTTTATTTTATATTAATAATACTAAAATGTTACTAGTACCTTATTTTGTCAACAGATGACGCGTGAGATAATTATATATCATTCAACAAAACTTTTGTACACCAAAATAAAATAAATTTTAATAAATTTTTATAAGAGTAAATTAACAAATTCACGTTCAGTTTCTTTATGGACATATATAACAAGAATCTTACTGTTTAGTAGCTCTAGCAAGCACTGCCTGTAATAGGGGCCTTGCATCGGGTACAACTCCCGGAGGGGCCACAACAGTAGGTATAGCAAGGGCCTGCAAAGAACGCGCAAGAGACCCATGGGCCACCGCTACACACTCTGGTAAAGGGCCCTCTTCACCTAACACTCGGCTAACTTGCTCGGCCATTGTACGACGAGGCTATATAAAAAAAAAGAAAATTTACAAACTCTCTCTTGAGCTTATCAAATAACTATGCGACTTTGTTTACTAAAGTAATCACACCTTCAAAGATTACGCAAAATCATTAAATTAAGATAAGATTTTAAGATTACCTCTAGTGCTGTCGGACTTAAGGCAGGCAAATCGTGCGCAGACAACGGTCGTTCAGTGCCAATAACTAGAGAATTTTTCTTCCTGGCTCCTGAGGCCGGAGTTAAGTTTCCACCGCTAGTAGCACTACGAAAAAGGCGTGAACGTTTGTCCTCCTGGAAAGGAATATATAAAAAAAATAATACATCATGAATAGTGTCTTGAAAAAAAAAAGGAAATTAATTATCAAAAATAATTAATACACCAAATATTTTTTAATTTATTTCGTAAATTTAATATTACTTTTCGTCATCTGATGCATATATAACGTTTATGTTTCTACCTTTTTGTGATAGCAAAGTATGTATGAGGAATAATGATAGTTTGAAAGCAATAATAAACAGGATGCGCCTGAAAATTCAAAAATAAAAAAGTAGGTTTAAATAACTACAAAGAACATAACAGACGCTGATATCCGATATCTCGAAACATCGATTTATTTAAATAATATAGTAAATAATAATTTATTTAAAGTATGTGGTATATTAATTAAATTTTATTTATTTGTGAAGTACTCGCTTAATCGTGTAAAGGTGTACCTTAATCTCATTTGGCGGCGAGCTCGATACGGATGCACCTGAGACTGGTGCATCGAGAGTAGCATCTCCATCGCTATTACCCTCACTGCCACGCTCGTCCCCGGCTGAGCTACGAACTGCTTCCGATTCTAGGTCACGAATACAAAATATATAGCTTAAATAACGTTGGAATTCGTTATTTGAAGATGTTTGCGATAGAAGAGAGTATAAAAGAACATAATAGAGATCTATGTTATTCAATAACTTATAGTACAAACAAACACAACTTCGAAAGTTCGCTACTCCAAATCACTCGAAACTGCTACTGTAGTATTCGCGTTAACTTTTCAATTATACATAATTGGTATGAATATGTATAATTGAAAAGTTTTTTCTTTCTAATCTATATAAATTAGTTTGATTGGGGTTTTTGCGCGTTGTCCGTTACGAGGATAGACTTTTTGTTATGATACAAAATTATGTGCATACACAGACATGCACTTCAGTTACATGAAGAAGTCCTAAAGGAAACTTTTACGCATCAAACACACGATATTAATGTTTTATATTATTAATTTAGGCTTTCTAAATGTGAAATGCTTAATAAAAAAAAAAGTATTATTAAATATTCTAGTGACGTTTACATTTACAATATGGCCTTTGTTCCAATATAACAGATGGTTAATTAACAATTCAAATATTTTAGCGACGGAAAGACTCTTGAACGGAATATTGATAGTATTCATTACTCATTCCTTTGTAGACGGATCTTGTGAATTATTAAATTTAAATTCTGCAATTAATTAAAACTAGGTTTATTTGGAGATGGAAATTCAGTAACAGTACTGCGACCTTATTGAATGCGACATAACAATGGAACAAAACAAAAAGCTCCGAAAGAGTTTCTTGACATACAATCAAATTATATTGGCTAAATTAAAGATTATAACAGTAAAACGTGCAAGTGCCAAAGGGTGACCTTTGTAAGATTCTTTTACAACATATGCAGCTGCTAAATGAAATGAATAGTTATTTTTATATCACAAGCAAATCAAAATTGTTGCATAGAAATAAAAAATACCTGTGAATGATAGTGTGGGCTGATGCCGGTTCCGCGGCCGCAACTCAGCAGCGGACGCGAGGCTCGCGTGTCGTGTCACTGCGCATGCGATTACGCTTACGATGGGAATGAAGTGGCGGGCACCAAATGTACGTATGAATACATGCACGTATACGTACACTTCACGCAAAGGAGCCTTTCGAGTAGCACATAGTCCCAAGTAACTGGGTGTTTACAGTAATGAATAATCAAGATATTTTTTCTTATAAATGCTCATGCATTATTAACTCAATTCGTAGTACTTGAACCGCCCCATACGTATGAAATGAAGTATTCACATGTACAATTGGTTATATGTGCAAATGTATATGTGTTTTAACACAAGTGAATTGTTACCGCCACTCCAAACCCACATGCACTAAACAGAGCGTTACAACACAAAATTAGGCAATAAAAAATTCCACCTACATAAAACTATATATTATAATTAAAATGCAATATAAAATTTAAGCAAGACAATGCGGCCAATTTTCTTGTGGTTTTATTTACTAAGTAGCCTTCTTACATAGTTTTCATAGGTAAAACTCTAATCGCTTGAATTTGTCAGATAATATAATAATATAACAAAATCATATCGGACAATATAATGAATAAACTTGATAAAACAGTACATTGCAAAGAAACTTTGAAGCAATTAAATATCAAACTATGGCACAAGTTACATAAACCACTGATTTCTTCAGTACTTACCATTGGAATGTCTATGATGGTCTTGATTAGCAAGACTCCTGGAGCTGCTGAAGAACGGTCTAAGCGAGGGTTTAGGCGTGGAACCGATGCTGATGGTGTCCATCTGATCGGGACCTGAATCGTCACCCTCGCCACATGATAGAGAATCCAAATCCTGAATAGACAACTTTGACTTTATGATCGCGCCGAGAAACCAATTGGGATTTTGCCTAAACATCTCGTTCAAGTGCAAAAAAAACCGCTTGCGCTACAACCTTTTAGGTCTTTTAATTCTGTATCTGTTTCGTGACCAATTGTTTATCTAATAGACAAGTTGGTGATCAGCCTTCTCTGCCTGACAAACGCCGTCGACTATTTGGGTATCTCCTTCACGAACGAGTGTTAATTGCGCACATAGGCCGAAAGTCTATTTGTGCACAGCCTGGGTTCGAAGGCCATAATTACGCAAACACTGCTCGTTGGAGTACCTACTACACATCATAATAAATTATGATGCTAGAAAAACTCTATCCCACGTATATATAAAACGTTCAAGCACTTAAACACTACATATCAGAAGTCAATTAGTATATTATATTAGAAGTCAATTAGTATATTATATCAGAAGTCAATTAGTATATTATATTAGAAGTCAATTAGTATATTATATTAGAAGTCAATTAGTATATTATATTAGAAGTCAATTAGTATATTATATCAGAAGTCAATTAGTATATTATATCAGAAGTCAATTAGTATATTATATTAGAAGTCAATTAGTATATTATATCAGAAGTCAATTAGTAGGTATAGTAATATATAATCGACGTACTGTCTCAAGCCATACACACATCTTTGTTTAATTATTGGCTGAAAATTGAAGTATCATAGCACTCATAGTAACGTCAAAGAAGGGCATATTATAGACAGAATTTTCCGGATATTTGCAACAATGATAATACAAAGGTAAACTGAGCAAGTCTGTTTCGTTAGGATATCTAGGATTTACCTGAAATAATTCATCTATGTCCCGCTGTGCATTGTGGTTGTCTCGCACCGCCCCGCGCTCACCCAATTCTTCGGGAACGCGAAATCGACGCAAAAGTGCTGCGAATTTCTGCTTCAGATTCCTTTGCTGCAAATAATTACCTTTCAAATCAATTTATATTTCACAATTATTCATCACCATCTCACCAACAAGAAGGATACTACAATATGTCCAAACACGTAAATAGACACGCAATTAGCTTTATAAGTTAGTAATACCACTCGAAAATGTTTAATTTAAAACTAAAAACTCAATACCTCCATACCAGTAACCGGGAGACCGTACAATAACGTACATAATCCTTATTGTTTAACTGTAGGCGTATCTAATCACGATGCCACTGTTACTGATAGTGAGTTACATCATTTTCATTTAGTGAAGCGAAGGTTATGTCAAGGCGAGATGAACGACAACGCAATATCACTTACGGTTAGAATTTCGTGTAATTTAGAAAAAATACAAAAGAACAGAAACATGTTATAGACAAATAAAATATCTAGTACTACAGCAAAAAGACTACTAAAGACGCAGGCAAAAGACTGTGAGAATAAAGTTGATTATCCCGTGCCGGCTCACCGCGAGCTTGCCGCGGCTGCCTTTGCGCTTGGTCGGGGCGTGTTCGAGTTCACTATCGCTGTCCCTCTCATGCGCCTTAGAGTGGATATAGCTCTGTCTCTCTCTGTCCATGTACCCCAGCTGCGTGCAAGCAATTTTATTTCGCCTGGCTTACAATTGTAATTGAACTTTCCTCCTCAGTTTATGGCTTGTACCAAATTTAAAGTAACGAATGAGTATGGAACCAATTTAAATTAAATATGTTACAGGTTTGCTTACTTAGATGCGAGAGGTCAGAATCAAAATAGATTCTATGCGTTCGTTACTTTCAAAAACTCGTTCAAAAAAATTGGTACCTTCTCCTTCCTTCTTTCTTTATTATATAATTATAAACCAGGTTATGCAAAAGCGAGAATATAATTATTACAATTCATTTAAAATATGCTAAAAGTATAAATATTTTAGAATAAAATTCTAAATTCTATTTATTAAAATTAAATAATAATGTCAATATCTAGGTTTAAATACAATAATCATAATCAAAGCTACAGCTTTATGCATGCATAAGCAACTTGATATTCCTCTATAGTTTCTTCTCACTCGACATTATTATAAATGGTAATATTTTATACAAAAAAGTTTAAAAAAACAAAGTAATTTTATATCCATCAAAATAAAACTTTCTTGGTTATTTATATTGTTTTGGTTGTCTGTATAAAAAAGGCTTCATATTAGGCTATATAAATTCTATAAGCGCTATTTATCCCAAAACTTTAACATTAACTTCATTATGTGTAGATAATAAAGTAATAGCTTGCTAAAAGTATGTAAACCGGTAAATTTTTCCTTTAGTTAATTTTACCTTGGTGTAACTAAAGTCTGCCTTGTTGAACTCGATCTGCCTGTGCGGTCGTCTCCTGGCAGGTGCACCATATGTCATCTCATCAGCCTCTTCCACCGAACTGAACTCGCCTTCCTCCTCTTCATCAGAGTATCCTCTTTCTGAAATCAGATGATAATGTTTTAACGGGGTTATTGTATCCTAATTTTGGTAGAACTCCACTTACTACCTTTAGTAGGTATCCATAATTATAAATATTGATTATTATACGTTAGTCACGTTACACAAAACGGTCAGAGATTATGGACCTGCCTGTAAATTATATATCTTCGTCTATCTAATCCTAGTAGTGCTGAGTTTAATTTCGTCGGAGACTATTTTTTATTGAAGTATTTATGTAATTTAAGAATTATAATTAACATGGAAAATCAAGTTTGTTTGTATAATGGAGACATGGTATGTCATAGGGACTGTGACGCCATCTTGTTTAGCGTTGTGGCGGGCGGGAAATTATGAGTGTTTAATTTGTTTTTTTAGCCAAGACTTAATAAAACTAAAAATATAGGTCCTATAGTCACTAATAAATAATCTGAAATGTATTTTAAAATCTTATCAAATAACCAACTCAATTGGAGCTAACTTTACGATATCGGTAGAGAATGATTTTCGCTGCCCTCAGGGTCTAATACTAATGTTCTTTATCATTGGTTGTGTTAAGTTATTAAAAAGTTCAGCACAACGAGTTTGTAGTTGATATAAATTTAATAAAGTTATGTTCGATACAAATAACATCAGACTTGACCAATTCATATGACTAATAATATAAAATTCCGTTAAAGACAAATTTGCGCGCTATTGTGTGTGGCAGAATATGCGAACGTACGATTGTACCACCTAACACATTTTTGTACCATATTCTTGCAATAAATAAATTATTATTATTCACATTACTTTAAATCTCGTGGTAAAAAGAGAAAAAGAGTCGCATTAATCGAACGAAGAAGTCTACCTATATAATACATCGTCCAACTTATGGTCAACTGAATGAACGGTATTAAGAAATGATGACAGTTTAAATTACCGGTAATAAGTAAAGTGTTGTTATTCTTAGTGTCATGATCGACGGGCGTAGAAGCCAAGCCAGTGATGGTCAGTCTTGCCACTGGCTGCCCAGCTGGCGCACCCACTTTACCTCCCACACTGGTTAATTCCAGCTCCATGTCCATAGAACGTTGAAGCACCTGTTAACGTAAATGAAAACTCTTATAATAGTCTATAATAATTTTGAAATATCATTCTGAATACATTACACAATTTCTACAACTTGTTAGGAGTAATCGTGAATAATTTACGAGGAAGAATGTAATATATTTTTAGTTCTAACAACTTTCAATTGGATGATTCACTAATCGCCCAAACTATCTTGGTTACGAGGTTGGATTTATTAAGCGGAATTCCTTGCTCTGACGTACACCATAGTTTAAAAACATGTTATGAGCGGTCTAATATAGGCATATTCTGTCTATATATAATCTTATATACTTACATCCGGTTTCGACGGGCGGGGGGTATTTTTATATACCATTAGAGAACTAGCTGACCGGGCAAACGTACGACTGCTTTGCCATCTGCCGATATAATTTATGAATAAAACAATAGGGGTTGATCCCTTGTAGGAGGCAAAAATAGTTAAAATGTCATTTTTTAATGCTGTATCAGTAAAAAAATAACACGCACAGAGAAAAAAAAAAATATATCTTACGGGTGGACTACCCATTTTAACATTTAGGGGGATTTTCTGTTACTAAAATAGTGTTGTCCGAAACTATTCAGAAATGACGTAATAATACTCACAAAATTTAATGTAAGAATATACAGGTCGAGCCGTTTTGGAGGCGTATGGCAACGAAAACTGTGACAGAACGAGAATAAAAATATATTGAGATTTTCTGTTTACTAAGCCAAAAAGTGCTCTCGAAACTCTTCAAAATGATGTTATAATAATTATAAAATATAATGTAATCATATACATAGTACATACGTTATGATACGACATGATTAACACTTCAGAACGTCAATAAAAAATATATTCAAAATTTACATTTACAATCAATTCTCAACGGCGTATGGGTAGAACTGGCAAGAAATTATCCGCCATTATTTTTAATCGCCAAGTTTTTTTGTTTTACAAGATGCTTGTAAGGGAGCTGCAATTCCACCATGCTACTCATGACATCGAAGCAGTGAATCATAATTGAGTACCTGATCCATCCTAATAACACCTTCAGCGAGGGTTTTGTAGCCCAGTATCGTGCGGTTTTTGTACTTCTTGCGACGCTGTAGCATAATTTGCAACCTGAAACGAAATATTACATTTTTAGTTTGACAAAGTTGAACTAAACATTTTCCACACTGTTAAAATCAGCAGTCTTCGAGATGAAACTACACATATATATAAGTATAGGCGGTAAGAATATATGTAATACTAAATATAACATGATGGCGCGTTTCGATTAGTTGAGATAAGCAATTAGCGATCCCGCAAAAGCATCTTTAGTCTAATCAAGTAATCACAGACACGCGACGACATATCTATCTTTTGTTATAAGCCGCTGAAAGGTAATTTTGTATACAATAGTTTTTGTTTCACCCACGTTCAGTTAATAAGAATCCCTAATAATAGCTATATACGGTGTAAATCTCAGATACATAGGCTCAAAGTAGACATTCGACTCGGGCTGTATTATTTTAAATTTTACGACGCGCCCAACGGCAATAAAACATAATATAAAATGGAAGTCGGGAACGACAGGACGCTCATTACTAGGCTCGCTTACTGCAGATGGAAAATATTACTCAAATTTAATGCCTCTTCTAAGTACGAACCTGACAGCTTAGTCGATAAACATGTTTCTAAATATATTATATACGTTTACCTGATATGAATTATGATAACAGAAACTCCCTTTTTCGTTTTATTATTTCTTATTTTTCGTAGAACTATTTATTTTTTGATGGTTTGAGAAATTGTAATACCTCATTCTATAATTTGATTTTGATCCTATTACAAAAACAGCTTACATTCGGCTAGATCAGTATCCGGAATAGGAGATCCGCAATTATTGGATTTCCAAGCCTGATAACGCTCATTTCTGCACGGAAACTTGGAACAGAGCCTAATATCCTGAACAGTTTAAACCACAAACCTGTCTGGTTAACTATGTTTATTATTCGAACAAATAGGAGAAAAACACTAACTTGAAATCTAATCTTGTATTGACAACAGTTTTAAATAACCACTATATAATGTACTAGAACCTTCCATGGGATATTTCAATAATATATCTAACCCAAATGATTTTTATGTCTGACAATATGCTACCGGGTGCAAGCTATATTATCTCGCACAAAAAAAGAGATTTACTCAATTTTCAATTGTTGTTCTTTTAATATATTTCATTGTAACAATATTTTCCTTACCGTTAAAAAACTGCGGGCCAGCTCATTTTAAATCTTTCACTCGTAAATCACGGAACCCATTATTACGAAATATTTTCAAAGAGACGAGGCATTGACGCAGCAGTTGCGAAGATATATGCGGCATACAAATATAAACCAAAACTATTTAAAGGTAATATCAATAAACATAAAAGAGCAGAGCGGCCATAAAGCCAAGTTCAAACTAAAAGGGGTCACGTTTGAAGGCCAATTTCACGGTTAAACAAGTCACTAAAACGCTGTGAAGAAAGATATAAAAGGAACTGAATATCCTGTTTACATATACCATTTTGTTAACTCACTATTAAAGCGCAGATTTTACAGATATTAAATAACATAGGAATGTTTACATTGGATTGTACTGCGTTTTGCAACAATGGTAACTTCGGTTAAAAAAAAACAGTGGCGCTACAACCTTGTAGGTTTCTGATGTCTGTATCTATTTCGTGATCATTTGTTTCTTCTAATAGGCAAGTAGTCGTAGTTAGTATTGCATTTTGGCTATCAATATATCCTCTTTGGTAAGTTTTTAATAATTCCGATACTCAAATAATATTGTAATAGGGATATTAGAAAGTTCTGGTAAAATTATTTCAAGAAACCATACAAAACTCTCAATAGACAACTTCCTTAATAATTTATTTGGTCCATTAACGTTTTCAATGGAATTCTACATCTGACACGATGACTCAGTGAATTTATATCCCACGATTATAAATTGAGTTTAAATATATTTTACCTTCATGCGTACATAAATAACAGACTTGTAGAAATGACACTACAATAAAAGCGCGAATATTATCATAAAACATCATAACTAGTTTTTCTCAAAGTATTTGAAAAATTCGGACACCATCTTATTAAGCGCTAGAAAAATTTAGATTCAAATCTACATCTTCGCGAGTACAAACCTGTTGCCATCACGTTTTACAAAGTGCGGGTACTGCAGGGAGAAGCAAAGATCCAGCTCCACATCCATTGGGGGTACGATGATATCGTTAGAGCGAAGTGTGCGCTTGCTGCTGTGCATTCGAGCCGCCAGCGTTACTGCACCCGCATTGCCAGCCGCAGCCCCGCCGCCAGCTTCGCCTAGTGCGCCGCATACTCTAAGGCGAGTTACGCGTAGTGTGCACAGTCTGAAATTAAAATTTATCTGTCAGCTGAGGTTGACATATAATAATAATCAGTGGCGCTACAACCTCTTTAGGTCTGGGCCTCAGATTTCTGAATCTGTTTCATGATCATTTTTCAATCTAATATGCAAGTAGGTGATCAGCCTCCAGTGCCTGACACACGCCGTCGACTTTTTGGGTCTAAGACATGTCGGTTTCCTCACAATGTTTTCCTTCACCGTTTGAGCGAATGTTAAATGCGCACATAAGAAGAAAGTCCATTGGTGCACAGCCGGGGATCGAGCCCACGACCTCAGGGATGAGAGTCACACGCTGAAGACACTAGGCCAACACCTTACATCTAACATATACCTTTAGTAAATAATGTTATTTTGGTAATTACTGTGATCTTTGGCAGTATGACCAGCGCTGTGGAACAGTCTGCTCCTCAGCATAATGCTGAGCCAGGGCCAATTACAACCACAGCACACACGCATTACACACTTAAAACGTACCTTATTCTTTAAAAGAAAAAAATGTTATCTCTTATTCTTTTTTATTTTTTTTATCATTGTTTTTTTGTATTTCTGTGTGTATGTTCTGTAAGTAATAAATGTTATGTTATGTCTAAGTTTTTGACATACTTAAAGCTAAGTCTCGACCCTGGATCTTGCCCTTATGGTAATTTTTTATCGTTTAACCTCTTTCCAAAGGCAACAACATCTTTCGTAAACATTTTTAGTCTAGACTAATACTATAATTGAAATTGTAAACAAAAAAGTCAAAAATATCGAGGCACGCTAACACGGTCTGCGACTAATCAAACAGTCTGTTTGTGAAGTAAGCAATGGCTCGCATGTACGAACAGCACTGAGCCGAATCTAATAACGATTCAGTCCAGAACATCAATACATTTGCATATTTCCGGTATGGTAAACATTTTAGTTTAGCCCAAAAAAATTTAAATTTGTCCAATTACATACTATTTTAATTTTAATGCCAAAATTGGTCATAGTCATCTTTGGAGGAGGCCTTTACCCTCCGCTGAGAGGGGTTCTTGCACCCATAAATATAAAAGCACCTGAAGAAAAGAAATTAATAAAGTACCCATCTAATCATACACACTAATGTATATTTTTAACATTTTTTATTTTTATTTCTCTTTTCTCTATGTTATTTTGTATATCTTTTAGCAATAAATAAAAGGCTTTTTATTTTATTTTATTTATTTATTTACATACTATATCTAAATTCTGAGAAGTTCGTTGAGAAGTGACTACTGGCAAAACAACAAATTGTCGTGAGCTAGAACAAGAGCATTCTTTCGTAATCTTTTAGTGTAAACGAAAGCTAGAGGTATCGATTTACATCAAACGAACATAGAGCTAGAGCTAGAACACAAGAACGCTTTGAAAAGACCGCTCAGTGGCGCGAGCACGTCCGAACACGCTAGAACGCTCTAAGAGCTTGGCCACAGTTTCTGGCGGTGTGGGGCGCGGCGCGGCAAGAGGGTCTGCGAGAGGCGCGGTTTGCGGTGGTATGCCACAGCTCGACCAGTTGCGACCGCGGCGCCAATATTTAGAGTATATTAGTTAGTTTTATTAGTCGTCCCACAATTTTTTTATAACATGCCTATATTTATGATGTGGATGTTTTGACATCCATATTGCTGGTCTACTCAGTATTTCACTAATAAATTGTTTTGTATCCATTATTTTATATGAGCTCAATGCGCGATAAAAACAAAATTATTTGTTTTGGTCGCGCGATGCTAAATGCGTCCACCAATGCCGCGGCGCGCGCCGCTCTTAGCTGTGGCCGCCTCGATACTCTTGAGTGCATTTGATTCACTCGCACGCCGCGCAGACCCCCGCCGCCGCCACCGCGCGGGTGCCACCGCGCCGCAGGTCGCACCGCAATGCGCGTCGCCGATAGCTGTGGCATACTTCATACAATTTTCTCAATTTGTTTTGCCGCTGCCTCTTTGCGCGCCGCTTTGCGCGCCGCAAACCGCGCCGCAGGTGACTGTGGCCAAGGGGTAGCAACTGTTCGCGCGCTCTTGCGCCGTTTACATCAAGCAACGAGCATTCTTAGAATATTCTATAGAATCTTTGCGAACGCACTAAGAACAACGAAAGAATGCTCTACGCCTGTTTACACTAGAAGAATTTGATGTAGTGGGGATAGAATGAGCATTCGCTCGTTTGATGTAAATCGACCTTACGAAGAACGAGTGCAGTCTCACGAAAATAATATCAGATCGCTGCACCGGAAAATTGTCAACATATCAATAATCTCAAACTCAAAATGTCTTTATTCATGTAGGTAAACAATTACACTTATGAATTGTCAAGTTAAATTAATTGTAAATTTACATTTACTACCAGTTCGCAAGTCAAGGGCGTAGAGCGGGTAAGAAGAACTGGCAAGAAACTTTCCGCCACTCTTTTTAATCGCCAAGTATTGTCATACAAATTGTTTGAACTGGAGCAAATCAATCCCAAGGATTAGGATCATCTAATATTGAGAGGTGTGATATATCAACGTTGTTGCCTAATTATTTATTGCGTCAAAACTCAACTAATAAAATATAGTCAGTAATGCATTTGTAAAAATATTCAATACACACTTTGCTTCTGAGACCTTGTAGTTACACACTTTATTCATTTACTCAATGACTCACTCACACACTCACTCATGCACTCAGGCGTGTTGATAACAGTTGAAAAAGCAAACACAAAAATAAATAAAATAAAACATTATATGTAAATATATTTGAAGGAGTTTGTTATGGAAGAGCTAGGAACCCTGACACAGGTATTTTTTACTTAAAAGGGTTCCCAAATCTTACACATTGTACCTAATACAAATGTACTTAAAATGAATAAACTAATTTTTATTTATTTACACTCTTTATTTGAAGAATTTTTAATAAAGACTACTTAATTTTTAATATATAAAACAAAAACATTTTTATATAATAAAAATGATTGAAATAAAAATCGTTGCTGTCAGATGCAGAATAAAAGATTAAAACGTTTCATTTGCAATATTTCTCAGCGAAATGTCCCCGGGGTGATGAGAATGCAAAAAATTTAAAAATTCACTACAATCTCCTTTATTTAATTTGTGGTGGTAATTCTGCGGGTAATAAAACTCAATTTTGTTGAAGAAATACTAAAATGATCTTCTTAATTCGATAAATTATATCGAGTAAAAATAACCGCAAGGCATACTTTTAAACGTTTAGTTTTTGTAATATTTTATTAACTTCCTAAAGTAATACAAACTAAAACAATCTGATTTCACTAAACATCGAACCTCAAACTATGAGCCTAAGAGTGCTGCACAGACTCTAAAAACTACACAACATTAAACAAAACTTCTCTAGAGTCTTTATGAATGAAGCCTATTGTAGCAATAAAACATAATAAACATGTGTTATCTATTATCTATGAGAATTAACGCAAATGTAATTACAAGAGACAAGAGTATATCGCGCTAGGCTAATAATTAATGCGGTGACCGAGCAATTATCGGATATTCATGCTACAAAGGGACCTCTGATTACGTTAAAGACTCTGTTCTTACGGCTTATATAATAGGCTGCTTCTTTAACCAAGGTCTAGTAAGAATTTAGGAAACATTTTAGGATGATGTTTATGTAACTTTTAATTAATCCTTAATGAAAATCCTAATACATTCTAGCTGAGTTAATGTCATTAATAATGCTAAATGCAATGGGCTGGGTCCAAAAACTACGTTCGCAAGAATTAAGTTCGGTGGTGGTTTTTGTATGGATGTTCAATTGAAACACTTTGAAGCTGGGTAACAACTGACTTTAATGGTTTAAAATATGAGCTTATAACTAACACAAAATTACGGGTAGAGGGGTTGCGACGCTAACAAAAACAAACTTGGCTTATCTAAGTGTTCATAAATCTAAATGACACTTATGTTATTGGACATTATCGGACATGAGCATGTTAAAATACAATTTATAAATGGAAACCTAAAGGGCTTCTATTGGCTTCAAGTGTGATAATTGTTTACGCTTCTAATTAGTAACTAAAATATATATATGTAACTAAACTAACATTAGGTTACATAACTCACGGCTGGATATTTAATTTTCTAAATATGTAATAGTGCGACATACAGCATCGCTGAATTTGTAGTAGAACAATCTTTATAGTACATCACTTTGTTCTATTGTCAATAGTTTCCGCAGCGTACGATATAGGGATTTTATCTGTTCTTTTTTTAATTCTTGGGTTACTTTATCGAAGTAGTTTTCAATACTTTATTGGATTTCTACAAAACAACTTCCTGTAAAAATATTATCGTTAATATAACATGGAAAAGTAAGCAGCAAAAGCTTCAACTAAGTACAAGTTAGAAAGTGCAATGGTCTAGACACTTTCTACGTGAAAGTACACTTACCAGTATAGAAAATCTTCAATAAACACACTTATAATTCCTATTAATTTTATTTTTGATTTACTAAATTTAATATATAAGTTATCGTTTTCACTTTCAAAGTTTGTATTAAACAAAAGGCGCACGCTATTAAGTCTAGTCACGTAACAACCTCCTTTCGTGGCACCTACAATACCTAAAGGCTATCACAAAACTTCCAATAGAGATTTTATACCACGTAATTTTAAGTTTGCATAATCAGCCATTTGTCGTATTACTTATAAATGTGGAACTAACAGTATTTGTCGGAGTTTGTGGGGCACTAATATAGGGCAAAAATAAAACCGAAAATGTCAGCTAAAGTCCATAAGCCTCAAGGGGCACTTAACCCTTTGAACTTTCTCACATCTGGCCATACACGACCACTTCAATATCTATCGGTGACCATAGTTTCTAAAGTCGTTTAAGTTGATAAACGTTTGAAAATTATTAAGTATTTCAATTTATTGACTCGGTGTACATTCTCATCAATTCCATAGGGAACTTTCGCCGAGTCGTTTTGGAAACCTTGCTGTGTCTAATTAATAAATAATTATTTTCTAATAATATTGTATTTATGAACCATGCGACTTCTTCAATACAAAGAGTCCCCTCGTGAGTTGTATGAATTGAAGTTGCATGGATCTGGTGAGCGCTGCGTCTTGGAAATGTTTTCGTAGAGTAAGGTTAAGGTTACTTCTTAGCTTAGAGCGTAGACGACGTACACTTGTCGCCAGTAATAATTCTTTATAAGTCTATTTGTTATACTTACCTGGCACAGACACACTATGTGATGCCGATCTTAAAGCTTTTTCTTTTCTCTCACCCAAATACTGATACGAAAGTAATGAGAAACTTTGTTTTGAGCACGTGAATTGCGTCGTTATTCAATTACGCAAGTGCCTGACAAATAAAAGAATCCGTTTATTTAAACATGCTCTGAAAAGTTCAGCGCTCAGTCAGCAGTTACGTCAGCAGTTTATCAAAACGTTTTTCTTAACTGTTACGTAATACGGATTTAACTACAGCAAGGTTAATCAATCGCATTAAGGACACAATGAACAACAAAGACAAAACGATTGCCCATTTCGTTGGATTGTGATTGGTCAACAGCTCTAATCCAATGGCAGATACGCTACACTGTCCGCTTGATAATTAGAATCAACGCAGGTTGATTTTTGTTTTAAGATTCTCGTTGTTCTGATTTCTTAGATTAATAGGACTCCTTGTTGATTTGCAATCAGAAGTCGATTACGGAGCTATAGAAAAATTACTACTTGTGGTTGTGACTCGCACTCTCAAATTTATCAAAATTTTAATCACCACACGGTCACCCACAACACAGAAGTATCTAGCGGGGGACCAGAATTTGCAAAATACTGTAACAATAGAATAAGGTTTAATTAATTAAGATATTTTTATCTTAATTTATAACATTTAAAATTGTTGACGTAACCACAGTTGTGAAAAGGATTTTGGATATGTGTGAAAAAATTTACCAAATTTACCTAAAACAACACACATACCCCCGCATCACTTCGCGCATTCCAGCACAGTGTCGGTCTCCCAACAATATATTTTTAATACGCGGGTATACTGAGTGCGCGGAATTTGTCGTAGTGAGTGTACGACGTAACGTTAAACGTTACACGTTTAATTTAAGTAATTGTAATTAAAACATTAATAATTGTTCACCTCAGATGGGTGTAGTACAAAATAGATGTGATATGTACGCATATATAGTAGTATATTTCGGGTTTATGTTTAAAGAACTTTATTTCTCAGCACACAAAATGTATTTTTATTTACATGAGAAACTTAATATATCCTAATTTTTGTCTACTAAGCTCATTCTGATATGTATCTGTAATGCCCCTTTAATTTGGTTAAACGCGCTTATATTACGAATTTTAGACGGTAATTGATTAAAAAATTGCACACCCTCATACTTAATAGACTCCTTCAAATAATTTGTACGCGGCTTCGGCAAGATAAGCTAACTCGCTCGACGAGTATTGCGCAAATAATAAAATCTTTTCATAAAGTGAATAATTTTCAAATTTATTACTGTACTTGTTTATAGCAGTCATGGTCAGCGACTACCATAATACACTCGAAACGACGAGTTATTTAATATAATAAATTTGAGTTTATAGTATCCGTAAAATTTAAATTAAAAATAAAAACTTTTACCTCACACGAGCCCCAACCCGAGCAAAGGAAACATTTATTATTCTCGTCGCGATGTGGAACTGATCATTATGCGACATTGTGCTCTCGTCTACAGAAAATTTGTTTAAAAATCCCTCTTACGCATTATCGATTTTAAAAGAATTCATCGAACATCTCGTAGTTATTATATAAATACTCAAGTTGTTTAGATACAAACATTTCAAATCTAATACGAAACAATATTAGTATCTATTAAATCTCAAATAGGAATAAGCAATTGTAATCTTTGACAATTGAAAAAAATATAAATAAATAAAATAGTGATTACCTGGAAGAGATCGCTTGAAAGCGATATGGTCGCCACTTGCCCTGCTTTTTATTATATTATTTTAATTGGACTATATATCTGTACATACTTGCACCGAACTGTTAATAAATAAATACACATAAAACTTAATAATGTATTTATTAAGTTTTACTCTATAATAGACATAACTAGCATCGGTTATGTAATTTTGTCTCGGTGTGAGGATAAAAGAGAATTAATCCTGTTGTATGATAATCCAATATCGTCGTGAATCCCGCAGGCTGTGCGCTCAGGCACGACTTAATTACATTGCTTGACATACTGCGACTTAGTGATTCTATTAGGAATTTTTATCAGATTGTAGTGAAGCCTAAAGAGCTGATTTATATCGAACCCATATGTATATATAACTTTTTAACGATTCTTTTGTTATTGGTAAATGATACTCCTTGACCAAATCCTTCAATGAAACTTAGTTTCTACATTAATCTATCGGGTTGTTAGTTTAATAATCTTATTATATGAGATTGTATTTATACAGCTTTCCTGTGTAATATGCGACGAAGATCCTTCCTTCAAAACCATTAATTCTGTTATCAACTTAGACGCAAAATATTATGTTATAAAAACTTTCAAAAAGTATTTCGTTTTGGTTACTGTGAAAATATAGCGTCAGTCTCGACCAGACTGTTTTTTAATAAACTCTCCTTATATCTCAGAGATTATAATTGTAAGGCATTTCTTGGCAAACTAGCGGATATATAATCTCATTATATATAATCTCTAAGCTACATGGAAGACGTCTGATTCAACAATAAAAATTTTACCTACAAATATAAGTAAAAATATAACAGCAATGCGGAAATGGGAATGGTGAAAAGTTTGTAACGGCAAATAACAGCTTTTTTGAGTAAATCTCGGCAAGTAATCAGGCTAACAAACAAGCGCTACGTCATCGAAAAAACCCAGTTGCTACAGTGCTACGGCGTAGCACACGTATTTTCAAGCCCCATCCACACGCTTGACAAACAATGGCAAACACCAACAACAGCAAACACGGACGTGTGGATGGGTGTTTGTCGTTGTTTGCCTGTTGTGTTTGTGTTGGGCAGTGTTCGGCATCGGTGTCGGTTTATCTTGCCAGATCAAAGGATGTTTGGCAAACAGTTTGCTACGTATCCACACGTTTGGCAGCGATCAGTATGCGCGCGAGCTTGCGGGAGGCGGACGTATTTACTTGCTACACTTTTTCGTTGGCGCGCAAAGCGTAAAGAAGCTCATTAAATTTTTCTTCTATAAATTGTCTGAAACGAATAAAAACTTTTAAGTAAAATTAAAAAACACGGCAAATTAAAGCCCAAATAATAGGTTTAAAGCAGTACATTGTACGATTTCTATGTATTTTAATTATCCACCATCGTCTTTGCTCTCTTCATTTTTTCCTTTTTTCTTTCTCTTGCTTTAATTTATAATAAAAATATGTCAACCCGAAAGTAATAGCTGCCACAACAAGCTCGTCGTCCGCCATGTTTGCCGATTCGGAATGTTATGAACGTTCGCCAAGCATGTGGATGGCTGTTTGTGTTGGGTGATTGTGGTTGGTGTTTGGGACTTCGTTTGCTGTTTGCGGTGTTTGTGACAAACAGCCAGCGTGTGGATGCCCTATAATATGCTAACGCAACTACGACCCTTCATAAACGTTTCTATACATTCGTCTCTCCAGTATTTGTAATAAGGGTTTGTCAGTATGGGGTTGTTGACCCTTTTTAAGTATTTATTCGTTTATATTATTTTACATTTC